AGCAGATTTAACTGTTCTTTACATGCACTGTTTTTGGTGAAAGGGACATGGCCGTTGCTGGAGAAGGCTCAGCCAGACCTCCACTCAGTTCACAGCTACAGTCAAGAAGCGAAAGGGATGGTGAGATGCAGCAGGAACGAGAGGGAGCACGCTCTGCAAAGGCTGTAAAGCCATGATAGCTGGATTCAGTCTGGATCACCCTAGAGGGGGTTCAGCTCATGGTAGAGCCCTCCCTGCATGTGAAAAAAGCAAACAAATTTGTAGGCACAGACAGATTTGAAAACATTCAGAGTGTGAAAGGCAAGTTAAAAAGGAGGCGATAGAAGTCTCTTTAATCAGGACTGGGGTGCAGAGGGCAGAAAGGGCTTTTCTGCTTTCTCCAGCTCTTAACAGAGTGAATATAAGCTTCCCATTTGCAGCTTTTTCTCAATGTGGTTAGAAGCTGGTAAGTGGATAAGTGGATTTCTTTTTTTGTCTTTTTAAGCAGTATGTAACTAAAATTGCAGTTTACTATCACAGCTTATGCAGAAGTTTAGAAAGGAATTCAGCAAAACTGTGAAGTTGACATTTATGTGGCTAAGATGCATTTGGATGTTAAGATCTCCCTGTTTCAGTTTTAAGCCTCCCTTTCTAATTACTAGGAGTTAGTAATTGGCCTTTCTCCTGAAATACCTAGCCTTGATCAGTTAGAGCCAGGAGAGTGTATTTAAAAGACCATAGATGTCATTTGATATGTGGGTTCCTGTACTACTGACTTAATGAAATAATTGGTTATTAGTGACTGAGTTAAAGCAGTGTTTATTCAGTGACTTTGAGCCGTTCAGTATTTCAGTTCCTTTTAAACTTTGGCAGCAAATATGCACTGCTTCACTCCATATATAAATTATTATTTCATGTTAGTCATTTTAGTATGTGAAATCCTACACTGACTTATAATCCAGGTTACCATACTTTCAAATTTAATTCTAATGAGGTGTAGTTTTTTAAAAATATTAAAAAAACATAATTTGACTTTTCAAATGAACACTTTATATTACAGGAATAAAGCCTATTTTTGCCAACGCTGGTGTATTCTGCCTGGTTATTCAGGCCTTGTGGTTGGTCACGAGTCCAGCTGCCAGGGGAGAAGGCAGTGAGAGCCAGGGCTGAGGTGAGCCCAGTGGGCAAGGGGCAGGGAGCTGCTGCCAGCTCTCTGGCGGCTGAGAATGTCCACGGTCACAGGCTTTGCTGTGAGCCAGGGCTCGCTGGCATCGTGACTCAGAGGTTGAAGGGCACAGCCATGGAAAAGCAGTGGAGGAGCTATTTGTCCCTTTGATTTTATTTGGCTCTTGATGGCTTCCTGCTTCCTTGACTGTTGCTGGGTGCTCTGAAGTAGCCAGCGTTGAAAAGTTCAGCTGTTTGGACTCTGCAGAAGACCGTTTTCTTCCTCGGTTGCTTTCCCAACTTTATATACACGCACACTTGCAGTACTTTGCTTTTAATAAACACAAATGCTTGCTGCTTCCTGTAACTTGCTTAACTTTGGAGAGTCGACCCATGTATTGCAGCACCAATGCAAACTCATTCATGGGAGTGCCTGAGTGCCACTTGGCACAGCTCTGGGGTCCCCACCCCATCCTGGGGCCTCCAGACCCTTTACAGCTCCTGATGGTGCAAAGCAGAGAAGAATGTGGTTTATCTCAGTTCAGAATCACAGAATCACAGAATTGCTTGCTTGGAAAAGACCTCTGAGATAATCATGTCCAACCGTTCCTGTCTACCCACTAAACCATATCCTTAAGTACCTCATCTACCTGCTCTTTAAATACATCCAGGGATGGTGACTCCACCACCTCCCTGGGCAGCCTGTTCCAGCCTCTGACAACCCTCTCGGTAAAGAACTTCCTCCTTATCTCTAACCTGAACCTCCCTTGGCACAGCTTGGTGCCATTTCCCCTTGTTCTATCCCCCATCACCTGGGAGAAGAGACCAGCACCCACCTCTCTACAGCCTCCCTTTAGGTAGTTGTAGGTGGTGACTGCACCACCGAGTTAGAGGTGGCAGGACTGGTGTTTGAAGGAAAAGGTATCTGGGAGCAAACTGAATGTATTCGATATAAAAACGATCGAGTTAAAAACTTTCTACCAGCCTGCTTCAGCGTGTGCTCTCTCTCCGGTTCTTGGAAGGAGGCTGTGGACTGTGGCTGTGTGTGCCTTTCATCACCTGGGAGCAGATTTTGCAATTTGGCTGGCCCTGAAAACCTTTAGAACATATCACCCGTTCCCATTATTTATCAGTATCTCTTATTTGTAGTTTTATGACTCCATTTTAGGGCACTTGTTTTAATTGGTTTCAGCTGATGATAGCTGTATTCGGTTATCTGCAATACGATTGCATTTTGGGATGGTGCTGGTTAGGATGAATAATAGTAGACAAATGTATATTTTTCCTTCAGGGACACAAATCATGCTTGTCTCTCAAGTGCACTGATGGTATGGCAGAGTGAAAGGATGTATAAAAGTTGCCTTCCAAGTGTGTGCAAGTTGACAGCCCGAAAGGTGATTTTCTTGACTCGCATGCTTCAGGTTGCTGGGTTTTACGTATGGCAGGTCTCCAGAACAAATATTGCTTTTGGAAAACGTAATCAAATTCAGCCATCAGAGTTAAGTTACTGAGTATCAGGCCTCCAATGATATGCTTGATTTAGGCTTCTCTGGAGTTTAAAAATTGTAAATTTTATCAGCCGTGGTTTCATGGAAAAATGCAAAGCAAAAGTTGAAAGTTTTGAGAGGGTAAACTCGGGCACTAGTGCTTCTGGTGAGGGTGAATTCAGCATAAAAATAAAATCTATTTGATGTTTTTTAAAAGGTTGTCTTCATTTCCTTGGGAATGCTTTGAAGGGATGCTGTCACTCCATGTTGTTCTATTTTGTTACCTTACAAACTTTGTAGTAGTATCATGTGCTAATACTGAAATTTGTGTTAATTGTTGGGTCACAGTTTGAGATCTCTGTAATGGAAAGTAAGTCTCGAAAGGAATTTAACAAAAGGGGAGTGAATGTGTAAACTGAGTCATTTAACTTCTCTCTGCCACTCTCAGGCTGGCTAGAAGAGACATTTTAATGCAAAAATTGGTGCTTAATTTCAACTTTTGCTCTGTGGGCTCCTTATTAGGAAGAAAAACATTGAGCTACTAGTTCACTGCATCTTCCCCACAAAAAAACCCAAACATTAAAAAAGTTAAAAAAAGCCAAACCAAAATCCATGCTTCTGCTTTGTAGGAAAACACCCTACAGAAACTGCAGCATGTGGCAACCATGTAGCCACTTCTGACTCCAAATCAAGAGAAATTTGCTGTAGTTCAGAAGGAATAAGAGCAAACTTTGATTGGAAAAGAAAGAGAGCGATGTGATGTAGTGGTATGATGTGGACTTTGGATTCGGCTGTTTAAAAATGGGCAATCAGAGTGATTAGATTGGAATCAGAAGCACTGAAAGGTGCGCGGGCGTGCTAGCAGACGAGGTGTCACACGCAGTCATAGCGCCCGAGCGATCAGGGGATAAATGGCCTTTAAATAAATAAATGGGAGGGAGCGTTTGGCCGTGGCTGCGGCGCAGGCGCAGGCCGTGCTTAGAGCGGGCAGCTTGCCGTAGGAGGTGCCTTCCTCTTGCTCCGGTTGTGCTGCTGAGTCTCTTTGAAGCTGAGCTTGGTTGAATGCTCAGTTGTGCCATGAGTAGAAGTGTGTTGATGGTGCTAAACGGTGATTTTCCTGAAAACAGAGGTCTGAAATGCTGTTATGCTGATGTAGCACCGGTGGAAAGTTTTGAACTGCTTTTATTAGTAAACATTTTTGGTTTAGGGCCAAGTTTAAGCTTTGCTGCCTAGCTTATCTTGGAAGGGCTTGGCCTTCTCCCTGTTTTCTTTTCTAAGGTGCAGTTATAGAAAGGGGAACTGAAATGACCAAGGGAAGGGAGTCCTTCCACTGTTTCTCTGAGGAAATAAAGCTGAGAAGCAAAGCTTTGTTATCCCACTTGCGAAAGTATTTTGGTGGAGAGGTGGGAAAGCGTTCTTGTGGATAGAATTGCAGCTCCTCTGGTAATAAGCTCTTAACCCACCGAGTAAATACTGAGCTGATAAAATTGTTGGCAATTTCACCCCCTCTCATCCCAAAGCCTACTGAAGAATATGTAACTATTTTAATTCTTTCTTAAGGCTGAGCTGTTTCACTGTCTGCTGTTGTTTCTAAGAGTCTTATTATGTTGTAGTTACTTATTTGAGTAGGATATGCATAGTTCATTAAATGTTCTGCATGTATAGAGCCCAGTGCTGTCTTCCATCTGTGTGACTGCTTGCTGTAGTATTTCTCCAGGAGAGAAAAGGCACAAAAGGGAAGGCAGCTGTGGCAGGCAGTTCCCCTGCCCCGTGTACCTGTGCTGGCATTCTGGAGTTTCTGTGCATGAGTGACACTTGAGGCCAGAGGAATCAGAGTTGAGAAGCAGACATTTGATGTTCGCCCCTTTGGGATTTAGGATTTTTTTTTTGGAGGACCATAAATTGCAGTAGTTGGAAGCAGCAGAATGAAGAGATTACAATAATTGTAATGAAGATTACAATAAATTGAACCAAATGGCAGCTTAATTTTGTATTGATCTATAGATAAATGCAAAATACTCTCATCTATGCTAGTCAACAGGAGTTCTGTTAAACAGGGATGAGTTTGACTAGGCTGTGTCCCTTTTGGAATGGGGGATATGACAAGATTATAAACACTATTGCAAACACCCATAGTGTGGTTATTTGGGACTGAGGCCTTACAGTTAACCAAATCAGAAACACACAACCGGGCAGGCTTTTATTGGAGTACCTCTATGCAAAATTAATCTTATCGGTATATCTCTTTGCAGGATGGTTGCATTGGGCATCAGCTCTCTGCTGTTAGTGTCATGCGTGAATTTTTATAAAATCCATTTGGCACTGGTAACGCAGGTTTTGAATATTGTGTGCTATTTGTCACGTTTGCAGGACTTCTCACTAATGGCCAATCTAAAGGATTAGGACCGGGATCAGAACAGCTGGAGAATGAGAAGGACGATGCATCGCAAGTGTCCTCAACGAGCAACGATGTTAGTTCTTCAGACTTTGAAGAAGGGCCCTCGAGGAAAAGGTCAGTAGTGCATTATAATTAACGCACAGTCTTTCTGCTTTGTACCTTTTTTACTGTAACGTTTCAATTATGTTATCAGCAGGGTCAGGGTATGGTCACACATACTGCCCTACCGTAAACAGACTTTCCGATGTGGAGTCCTTCTAGTAATGGTGAGGATATAGTGAATTTTGCTTCATCCGTTGGTATAGATGGTTATTTTTCTTGTTTGATGGAAAAGCAGTTGTTGTTTTGCAGTGAGTGATTGCTAAATTAAATAACTTAAGACTTTCTTCCCTCCTGCCCTCCTGCCTCCTGCCCCAGCTCTGGCCTCTCAGGGACATGGCAGTGTGTACGTGTGCGCAATTTAAAGGAATGCATCACTGAAGTAATTATTGTTACTGCTATTTATAGCTTTATGTGAACGAAACCATGTGAAGTTAAAAAAAAAGGAATAAAACAGAGAAGAGTTTCTCTTCTGAGAAAAAAATTATCTTTTGGGAAGAGAAACTGTGTAGTAAAAGAGTGTGGTATCAGTTACAAAGAACCGTGTTGAGATACTGCTGCAGCAAACTGCCTTCTCTTTCCTAGAAGTCAGTTATGAGGTCCTTGTTGAACTCTTGTGCGTTCTCATCCTGAATGTGCAAAATGTGGTTTAAAATCATAGGACTCAAGGCAGTCTATTATAGAAAATATGCTGAGAATGCAGGAGGCTGGGAGTTGTGCTGTGTATGAAGTAAGAACCAAAACAGGCTGTCTGAAAAATGCCATTTAAAAGAGAGAAACAGAAAACGCTTTCTCAACTTTTTCCCTCCACAGTCCTCACATCTCAGTCCCAAGCCAAAATGAACCATAAAATAAAGTTCTCTTTCAAACAGAAGAAATGTTCCTGTTTTCTGCACAACCTTATGATTTCCCTAAGAAAAATGGGGTGAGGAGAGTGGTGCTTTCCTGGACAGCCCCCTGTTCCTGTTCCCGTGTCCCCTACCTGTAGTGCCCACAACCTTTTCTACCTCCCAAGAAACAAACACAGAGTCTGTTGAATATGCCCACTTAGCTCCTCCAGTGTATCAGAATAACATTGGTGTTATCTTCCATACTGGTAGAAATGCTGTGAGGCTTACTGCATCCTACTGCTGGTCAGGGGAAAAGCATTTGTGTGTTTATTTTTTGGTTTTATGAGATTCAGTGGGGACTTGAAAATGATTTCTGCTTAGAAATTTACATGACATCCACTGTAGGTGTGATCTTGGGAGACACTGGTCGTTGTTTCACAGTGTTGCCACTGTTGCCACATTATCTTAAGGAATTTTTGTTGCCCTCTGTACTTGCTTTGTCCCCTCATTCCTCAGCTGTGCTGACACAACCGCTTGCAGGCTCACACCATGAGTAGGTACAAGAAACTCGTTAGGACTAAAAAATAATAGCAAGAGGAAAACAGATTGATCCTTTTTGCCAGGGTTCTTGATTTTTAGCCTGTGTGAGCGTTCTTCTCTTGTTCACAGCATGGCTGCAGGAGCAGCGGCTTGTGCAACTGAGGGGGCATCCCCTTCCTCTCTTGGGGCTGGTAAGGGGCAGGAGGGCTTGTGCTGTCCCTGCTTCTGGTCCCCTGCCCAGTCCAGCTTCAGAAATGAGTGGGATTGCTGCATCACTGTTCCCAAGAAACTGCATTGGAATATTGTGAGTGAAAATTTTATTGAGGAATACTTGCTAGTTTTTGGCTGTGGGAATTCAGACACTTGAGAAGCAGCTGGGTGGTTCAGGCCTCATGATAGGGAACTTGGTGCCTTTGGTACTTTGTGGGTTCAAAACAAACCCCACAAACAGAAGGTAAGATAAAAAATACCTTTCTGGCTTTTGTGGAAGACAAGGCATCATTTCAGTTCTTCTTTGTGCCTTGTGAACTGTTGAAATAATACTAAGTTTGTTCGTGCAGTTGCTGTGAAGAACGTTCCTGTTTTGTTTCCATTTACACCCAACACAGATATTTATCTACCTTTTTTCCTCCCCCAGCTTCCTCTTTGCAGACAGACCTCTTCTGGGCTCCTTCTCTTAGTCTGTACTGCAGCACATGGACTGTTTTGACGTCTTCTTCTTGTTTCCTTTTAGGTTTTTTGTTTCGTTTAGCTGAACATGTAATATTTCCTTGATCCAGTTCATCTTGGGATCCCACAGAGAGTTATGCCAGGAATATTGGATGGACAAAGGATATGCTAGAGGATGAGGAGGGGGGATCGGACTGAAATGAGAGATATGGGTTCACTGCCTCATCTTACAAAGTTTTGAGAAATTGTGTCCTCCTTGTCATCCTCTGGCCTTCCTCAAAAACTTTTCAATTGTCTGTTCAGCTGTGTGTTCAGCTAATGGCACTGTTGTACTAAAACACACATTTAAGCACTGTAGCTTTAGCAGGTTTTTGTCTTCTCGAAATACTGTGGTATATAGCTGGTGGTGTATGCAGTGCAATGATTTTAGGGATTGGTGCACTTGGTGAAGCATATGTCTTTGGAACTTGCTCTGTATAATACAGTGAGTTTTGAGTACCAAGTTCCCTGTGATGTTTGAGCCATGCATACATGTAAGTCGCTATTTAGTTTTTTATGGGTTATGAGGTCTTAGTGGGGGGGTTTTGTGTATGTGTGTGGCAGGAATGTTTCTTTTGGAAACTCGAACCATGTAATCTTCTAGAGGAATGGGTCACCTGTATTTCATACCAGTGATGGAAACAAAAGTAGTGCTAAGCAAGTAAGCATAGTAAATAAGACAGGGTGTTGTAAGGGGCTCCAGTTTGTTTAGTAGTTGAAGGCTCTGGTTTCACCCTGCAGTTCTTCAGTGTAGTGGCAGGCTGGTGCTGCGGGGGCAAACAGCCTCTTCCCAGTTTCTTCTTCCCCCCTTCCCAGCCATCGTCTCTGGCAATCTTCTGGCCTCTGAGTTCGTCAGTTCAGTGGACTGACCTGGCAGCATTTTCCCCCTGTTAGAACAGGTCACATTATAAAAATGGAATAGGGAGACAGATTCATGCGTATGTGCAGCATGTGTATGTTTAATTTGCACTTATAGTTGATTCAAACTCTTCCAGTTTCAGAGTATTTCTATGAGAGCCTGGATGAACAGCAACTGCTAATTCTCAGAGCAGGCTGAGCGGAGGGTGAGTTTGCTAGGAGTTAACATTGCCTTGTGGTCTCACTATGCCAGATATCTCTGGTGTAGATCTTCCTTGGGTCAAAACTAGGCAGTGGATGCTCCCAGTGAGTTACTGGTCAGAGGACTTAGTTGCAGATAAGTGGGTGCTGACAATGTCTGTGGGGGAGGTAAATCCCTACCAGCCTGTTGGCTAGTGAAGAAACTACTGCCCTGTGTTCCTTATTTCACACATATGTGCCAAGCTGCAGAACACGATAGGAGAATCCACAGCCAAGCACTGTCTCACGTTCATCTCATCTATTTGTTTTTTTTAGTTTCAAGCCCTTTCCTAGTAGCACAGGTTGATTGAAGAGCCACACGTGCCGTAAAGAGAGCTTTGTGATGGGAGGAAAGAGATTGCGGTTCTGGTGAAAGTATGGTTTAATATGGTGCTGCAGATTTTGTTCAGAAAGTCACTCAGATACTTTGTTTGATGAGCCAGGCTTTTGAATGCTGTGGCCCAGCGCTGTTAGGCTTCAAATGCCTCCAACTCATCTTTGTGGGTACTTTGTCAGTAATGAACACCTTTGTTCTCTGGGGACTGGAGGAAGCTTCCTACACAGCCAAGTTTGCAGCCAGTGGGGAAAGTCCCATCTCCATTTCTTTTTAAGTGTAAGGTTTTAGATTGAAAAAGAAATCATGGAACAGTACTAAATGTGTGAAACCTGCCATTTTGGGATGCTGCAGATTTCAGCTGTGATAGCTTGGTGGCGGTAAGGAGGAGAAGTACATGTACATCTTTGCTAGTGCAAAGTCTCTAGATCAGTCCAAAAATTGTAAGCACTACTTACAGAATAAATGGGGGTTGGAGGGGATTGGCAGTGGCAATAGTGGCAAGCTCAGGACTTCACAATTTTTATATTTGTTTGAGTTCCCACTCAAAGAATGGACAATACTTGCTTTGTTCTGATCTGTGTCTGTTACAAGTGACCAGGTCTGGGGGGAAGCAGAGGGTTAATACTGAGAAGTAGATAAATTTCAGGCAGTGAAGAGGTGTCAGTGTTGTTCTAACATTTGACAAAAGCTCAGCATTCAGATGTTACACTGACTCTGTTGTGTAATAGGTTGCTGTCTAATTGCCGTGTAAGTGCGAGCAGTTGCTAGATGGTTCAGTGCTTTTGGGAGGGATGAACAAAAGCCTTGGTATCCGGGCTTGATAAACTGCCAGGTTGGATGGTCTTCACCGAATAAAGACTGTGCGTTTGAAAAACCCATAAAAAAGGTAATTGCTGAAGGAGGAGAAGTGTAACTTCAGTGTAGCTGCACATTCTGTGTTGGTATGAATCTCCAATTTCCAGCTACAGTTCTCAGTTGAGGAGGTCAGTAGTTAACAGGCCAAAGGCAATTGAGTCGCTGTGCTGGACGCTCATACATTTTTATGGGCAGCTCATAAGACTACAGCCACCGGCAATTAATAACAGAGTGCAGAGACAGCTATGTTTTCTAGCAACAGTTGCTCGCCTTACCCAAGAAAAGACTTGTGCAGAGCAGACTTGATGTGACGGCATGTTAATCTTTGGTAATAGTAGGCTATTGCTTGTTTCCTGTTATTAATCAGGTGGCTACTCATTTACATGGCCCCCTTCCCAGAAACGCACACAGGGAATTGCCAAATGCACAAAGGCGTTTATCCTTTATTGTAAAGTTCTGGTAATAGGAGGCTGTGAGAAGTGGGAGGAGGTTGACTGATTTCAGTAGCCATTAAGCTTTAAATTTTGGTGGTTTTTTTACTTAATGTTAGAATATTTTCTCCATTAAGGGGCACTAAGAGGTTTGTTTAGTTTAGAAGAAAATTAGGGTTGAAGAAATTTGCCCCCCTTGCAGGAGTGACAGAGTGG